GTATGAAGAACTGAAGTTCCTTTGTCACGTTGTGAGCCATGTCGGCATCCGCCCAGACCCAGAGAAAACCCGCGCCGTTGCCGCCTTTCCCGTGCCCACAAATAAGCGCGACCTACGCCGATTTCTGGGGCTCTGTGCGTATTACAGGCGCTTTGTCAAAAACTTCTCGGAGATTGCTGAACCCCTCAACAAGCTTACAAAAGACGGTGTCTCGTTTGTTTAGGGTCCCGATCAGTGCCATGCGTTCGACACCCTCCGAAACCTCCTCCAGGCTCCGCCTGTACTAGGTCATTTTGACGAAAGCGCTGACACGGAATTACACACTGACGCCAGCAATGTTGGACTAGGAGCGGTATTAGTTCAGTGGAATAATGGCGTAGAGTGCGTGATCGCTTATGCGAGCAGAACGTTATTGCCAGCGGAGAAAAACTATTCTGCAACCGAAAAGGAATGCCTCGCTGTTGTCTGGGCCATAACAAAGCTCCGCCCATACTTGTATGGCCGCCCATTCAGAGTAGTTAGCGACCACCATTCCCTTTGTTGGCTCGCGAATCTCAAAGATCCCTCAGGTTCTCTAGCACGATGGAGCCTTCGGCTACAAGATTTCGATGTCACCATCGTCTACAAATCTGGGCGGAAACACACCGACGCCGACTGTCTCTCACGTGCACCGGTCGAAAATGCCAACACTGATCTTGAAGACGACGACAGTTTTATTTCTGCCGTATCAGCAACCAGCTTAGCTGAGCAACAGCGTCACGACTCGGAGCTCATCCCGCTCATTGACTACCTGGAAGGACGCAATTCCCACCTTCCTCGAAGCTTTGCACGCCCACTATCCTCCTTTTGTTTCCGTGATAGAGTGCTTTATAAAAAGAACTTCCATCCTACACAAGCTATGCATCTGCTTGTTGTGCCAACTACGCTTCGTGGTGACATTTTACGTGCGTGTCATGATGAGCCATCATCCGGACACCTCGGCTATACGCGCACGCTGCAACGGATTCAACGCTCCTACTACTGGCCACGTCTCGCGAAGACTGTGAAGCACTACGTTCACACATGTCGCGACTGTCAGCGACGTAAGATTCCACCTTTACGACCAGCAGGACTACTGCACCCAATTGGCCCACCAAAGGTGCCCTTTCATCAGATTGGCATGGACTTGCTGGGGTCATTCCCCACGTCTTCGTCTGGAAACCGGTGGATTGTGGTCCCTACAGACTACCTAACACGCTACTGTGAAACCAAGGCACTTCCAAAAGCCACAGCAGCAGATGTCGCCCAATTTTTCGTTAACAGCATCGTCTTACGTCACGGTGCTCCAGCTGTTGTCATAACTGATCGTGGGACAGCTTTCATCGCCGAGATGCTGCAGGAAGTCTTGCGATTAAGTGGCACGGAACATCAAAAAACAGCGGCAAATGGGCTGACTGAACGGCTCAATAAGACAATTGCAGACATGCTGTCAATGTATGTCGACATCGATCATAAGAACTGGGACGCCATACTTCCCTACGTAACTTTTGCGTATAACACTGCTGTTCAAGAAAGTACCGGTTGCACACCTTTTCGCTTAGTCCACGGTCGCGACGTCACGACGATACTCGACGCCATGCTCCTGCCCGACAACTTAGGAATATACCACACGGATGCCGCCAAATTCGCACAGTGCACAGAAGAGGCCCGTCAACTTGCTCGTCACCGTATTCAACGTCACCAAACCGCAGACGCGCACCGCTACAATCTTTGCCACCGTGAAGTTATTTTTAAGCCAGGTGATGAAGTCTGGGTGTGGACACCTATCCGACAGCGTGGACGTTCAGAAAAGCTTCTTCGCCGCTACTTCGGCCCTTACAAGGTTGTGCGATGTCTCAGCGACGTCACTTATGAGGTTCTCCCACAAGGCAATTCGAGACGTTCCCGTTTCACCCCGCAAACTGAAGTCATTCACGTTTCACGTCTCAAACCATACTTTTCGCGCTGTGAATCGCCGGTGAGTGACTGACTTTATTGGTAACTTCGCGTCTTTCTTTTTGTTTCGTCTTTTCCTTAAATTTTTCCTATTTTTCTTATTTTCCATTTAACTTTTGTCCCCACAACCAACTACGTTATTCCACCTTACGCCATTCATTTTGCTCGCATGCTAATTTTCATCTAATTTTCTTTTCTTTTTTTTGTCTTCATGTACAGCATCGAGACGATGCTTCTTGGGAGAGGGAGTAATGCCACCATTGATGAACGAGCCACTGTGGCTCATACGGGTTTTTGGTCGCGAAGAAGAAGAGAACATCTTCGTTGCTCTGGTTCAAGTGAACTCCTGACTGCAGGTCTTGTTTTGCTCGTGACAATATATTGTCACGACGCAGACACAGCAGGAGCCCGATATAGAAGAGCTCACTTTAATTAAAATGAAAGGCGCTCGTAAAGAGGACCGGGCAAGAGCTTCGTCTTCCTTTCTGGCTGCGCGAGCTCTCCTCTGCAGGTTGAATGCGGCATTTGCCTCCCTCCAGGAAGAGCATTGACCCGATGCTCGGCTATAGAATACGCGGTGTACGTAGTTGATGTATTACGCAAATGGCTCACTGCAATATAGCTTCATCAGCACAACGTGCACGATTTCAGATTTTTGAGCTCGCGAGGAACTGTCGGGGATGACCTCATAATTCACGTCACTTAGGCGTCGTACAACATTGAAAGGACCAAAGTACTTCTTCAGTAACTTTTCAGAAAGGCTGCGTCGGCGAATAGGGCTCCAGACCCACACTTTCTCGCCTGGTTGATAAGTGACGTATCGGTGTCGCAGGTTATAACGTTGTGCGTTGTAACTCTGCTGTCGGGCTATTCGCACGCGTGCTAGCTGCCGCGCCTCTTCAGCTCGTTGGGTAAAGGCTTGAACATCTGTGTCTGTATCGTATATATATATATATATATATATATATATATATATATATGATAATATGCATACTATAACAATTCATCAAAGTACAAAAGTAAGAACATTGATAACTGCGATACTGGAACACTAAAAAGCATAATAAGTAGAATTAAAACAGAGTATGAAAAAAGACATTTTTTTTATAAATGATCGCAAACTGCAAATCTTTGTAATGCAAGGCAAAAGGCATACTTTGCTCTTCCACTTTAGGCATACCTTGCTCTTCCACTTTTGACTGCTCAGCCCCCTCCTACTGCCCACTCACTGGCAGGGAAGGCCACATGAAAGTGGTTCAGGGTTAGGAAAAATATCTGCTCCTAAACCTCATAAGCAAGAATGACACAGCGTCGTGTGGAGGATTGGGAGTGAAAGATAGGAGACAGCGAAAAGGAGAGGCCCCCTTCTCATGACCAGCACCGACACCACCGAGCTATAGGCTCAGGTACAGCTAGGAGCAATATGAGAAAGAACATTCATGTTTATTCAACAATCGTTTGTGATGTACCGACATGAATGTGATGCATTCAAGTGCAAAACACACCTTTTCGCATCACTATTTAGTGTTGTGAACACTTTTGAACTTGCCATCTGCATTAAAGGGGTACTGACACAAAATTTCGGGGCCGAGATAGCCTGCGGGGTCTATTCTCATGAACATTCATATATCATCTGCAAGATATCAACAGCAAATATAGCTTGGAAGGTATTTTAAATTAATTTTGAAGTTTGCGTGAGCGACCGACTCCATAGCACTACAGACACCCTCGGAGGGGACCCCGAGGTGACCCCCTACTTCCCTCACATCACAATGCTGAGGTCAACAAAACAAGTTATGATGACATCATAGCCGCCATTTTTCTTTTGCCGCATTAGTTCCCGAAGTATATTTCTCGACGGCTGGTTGCGAGTGCGTGGCCGTGGCACACACTTAAAAAGATTTGTGTTTGGCGACATTCCAGTCCCGTTTCCTATTTGAAAGTAATTCTTGATGCGGACTGTGCGGAAGTGCGTCACAGTTCTGTGTGCTGACGTGGTCAAAATTTGCACGCACTAGGTGGCGACATTTGCACCCAGTTCTTGGAACTCTCTCAAACCGAAACTAAAACCGATTGATAATGAGGGGCTTGTAATTAATTATCTGTTGTGTGCTGCATCAAACGATGTGCTGTGTCATGACTAACAGGCCCTCAGCAACGCACTGCAGCAGAAAAACGCGAGGCCAAAGGTTTCGTGTGAGTACCCCTTTAAGCTGCTGTAATCAGTAATCATCGAAAAAGAGCTTTATTGTTCCCTCTAATATCGCTCATGACTGTACTTCACCCCTAATTAAAAAAACTAGTGGGTCTGACAGCAATGGTAATTGAATTCATATAAGTGTACCTCAATACTATTAAAAAAAGCGGTATGTGCTGGGAGAACTCAAAATCGAACCCAGCATCTTTCCTGGCTCACTCTTGCAAGCTTTTCCTTGCAGCCAATGCTTACAGCTCACAAAACATGATAAAATTTTTTGTGCAGAATGCTGACTGCACAACTAATTCATGTTCATAGTGGTGGAAGGAAGACTGGAGATAAGATAGACGAGGTTGAGAGTATGAAGAAGGCTGAAAAGTGTGGTACTCGGATAAGCATGACAGTCTTTCCGGAAACAACAGGGAGCCTGATTTAATTGATACAACCAATAATGAGACACAGGAACATTGTAGTGAGTGGCCTATTTCACCACAAAAGGCACACAAATGTTCATAGTGTAGCGGCCGCTCATTGCTATCACAATATTTTGTTGAAACTAATATCGTCATAAGTGTGTTCGACTATGGTAATCTACTAGTGCAGTCACAAACTGCTCAAAAAAAGAAGAAAAGAAAAGGAAGAACGAGAAAGGTCAAGCAACAACTAAATTCGTAGTTTGCCACAAAACATACAGTTTGCCATTGCTAGTGATGTCCAACATAGCTTTGATTTTTTTTTTTTCATTACAAGCTTCAGATAGAGCTTGAACATGAAGCCTCAGAGAAAACAGTTGGATGCACACAATACACAATAAAACCACGTTGCTTACCTCTGGTTTAACACCGTTGTGCTTTGACTTGCTCATTTTTTCCCAGTCCATAACAACTGTTTCTCCCGTCTCCTTGTGGAATAGCTTGGTCTCCTCTTTCAGTGTGCACCAAGCAAAGTTTTGAAAATACATCACAGACCATATATAAAATAAATAAAAACAGCATGCCACATGTGCTTATATCACATGTAATGTGCTTTAGACCAAATAATGCAGTTTATCTTAGTATCTTATGAAAACAAATAGATTCAGCAACTCACTTTGAGCTACCATGTCACGGGGCAGGTACCGGCCAGTGCTGGCAAGCTTGAAAGTTTCATTCACCACCATTCCATGCACGAGCATCCTCAAAAATGGCTCTTTGGCTTCTGTCAAGCCCAGGCTATGACAGAAGTGGTTGATGAAACGAGCATAATACAGGTGCATAACAGCTGTGGGGTAAAACGCAATAAATCAGGATGGTGAGAAAAGACAGCCAGATTGACTTTAGAAATCTTTGTTCTAAAATGACAATCATTGCTACTGAACTCAAATACTATTTAGTGAAACTTAATATAATATGAAACATAGAATGCCCCCACAGTATTGTGACGGAGGCGAGATCAAGGTTTATGCAAACAGCTGATTGTCAGCCAGACGATATGGCCGATGAGTACCACGCGCCAGCTCTACATTTACTTGTCATCTTCATCTTCGGCGACAACCACCCTGATTCATGCCCATGTCGCACCGTAACATCACCCTCTCGTGGCGGAAGCGCCGTTGCGGCGCTTTCTAAGGCGATGAAAAGCTAGCAGGGCAATATGCTTTCAGTCTAGAAACGTGTACGATGTCTGTCTTGGTTGATCTCGTTGAATAAGCTTAGTCCAGAGGTGCAATCTCATGATTGATGTCGCTGAGTCGGCAGAGTACTCCATAAGGGCCATTGTAATGGGAGAAAAGCTTCTAGGATAAGCCGACTTGGTAGCAGGGTGACCAAAGGAGTAACAGAGATCCCGGAGTGAAGAGGACGCTTCGATGGCGACTATCGTAACAATACTATTACTGATCTTGCGACAAAGATAGTTGGTCATGAGCGACTTGTCGAGCTGTATGTGTGCCCTAACAATGACGTCGCTGGCGTATGTAGTATACTAGGGTCTGGTCGAAAAAAGGAGGGTTTTGAATAGTAACACTGGATGCCGACCAAATAGCAAATAGAATGGTGAGTAACCCGCTGTATCATGTCGTGAAAAGTTATAAGCAAAGGTGAAAAATGGAAGTGCACTGTCCCAGTCACAGTGATCGAACAAAACGTACATTGACAGTATCTGAGTAAGCATTCGATTGAGACGCTCAGTCAATCCATTCGTCTGGGGATGATAAGCTGTGGTAAGCTTGTGCTGAGAGAAGCAGGTATGGAGAATGTCGTCGACGATACGTGAAAGGAAGTGCATTCCTCGATACGTAAGCAGCTGTCGAGGGGCACCATGATGTAGAATGACGTCGTACAAGAGAAAGTCACCGACGTCGATGGCGCAACTCGTCGGCAGTGCTCGAGTGATGTCAAAGCCTGTGTTATAATCCGTGGCAACAGCAACCCATTTATTACCCAAGGTGGACGTAGGAAAAGGGCCTAGCAGGTCAAGCCCAACACAGAACAATGGCTACATGGGTATGTTGGTGGGGTATAAGAGGCCAGAAGGCAGTACCGAGGGGCGCTTTCATCGTTGGCAAAGATCACATGAAGCGACGCAACAAACCACAGTACGGTACATGCCGGGCCAGAAAAAGCAATGTCGGACTCGATCGTATGTATGAGAGACACCAAGGTGACCGGCAGTTGGTACATCATGAAGTTGTTCCAGGACACTGTTGCATAGATGGTGGGGTAGCACAAGAAGTAGTTCCGGGCCATCAGCATTGAAGCTGCGATGGTACAGAATGTTGTCATGCAGCTCGAACAGACAGACAGAGGGGTCAGGTGATTGGGACATTAGACGGTCGATAATAGTCACTTAAGATGGGTCCCGTCGCTGTTTATTGGCGATGTCAAGCAAAGCATGGATGGGCAGTACGCAGGGGTCTGAGTCAAGGTCTTCTAGTTTGTGCTCTTCAACTGAATGATGTGACAAACAGTCTGCATCTGTGTGAAGTCGCCCCGACTTGTAATGTACCTCAAACGAATATTCCTGAAGACGTAGTGTTTAGTGACCAAGATGTACAGACTGGTCCTTTAGTGATGGGAGCCAGCCGAGAGTGTGATGGTCTGTGACTACGGAAAACGTTTGGCCATATAGGTAAGGCCTGAATTTGGTCACAGCCCACACTAGCGCAAAGCATTCACGATAAGTGATCGAGAATTTCTGCTCAGCGGGCGAAAGGAGACAACTGGTGTAAGCAATTACTCAATCCTTGTCATGCTATTGTTGACGAAGAACTTCATCTTCGGTGACCACTACCCTGCTTCATGTTCCCATGTTGCACCATAACAGTATCAAAGCGAGTTTGAAGCCATCTGAAGTTTGAGTTAAACAAGCCTTGCACAATGAACATTTTGTACACACAGATGCGTGTACCTATGCAATTTACATTTTGCTTCTGCTGAAGACCAGCTCTCTAAATAAGTCTTGTACAATAGAGTGTAGCGGCATTCAATTTTACCCAATAACTTATGGCGAATTCCATTGGCAGATCAGGAGCACTCAAAAGCACGGTGAAAGTGCTCTGTTCCCAGCCGGAGTGTTCTGGTGGTCGAACAGGTGCAGAAGCACTGTCATTCATTGGTAGAGCGAGAGTGCTTTTGCTGCGCCGAGAGCAGCCAGGGACAGTTTGTAGTGCTCTCGCCTGAAAAGTGGAATAGGCGCAGTACAATGGCGCAGTAGGCGAGTCACGTGGCATTTGAACGTCAGAGTCTCCGAATTTTTCTTCAGCCGGCGAGTGCAGCAGCAATGGTAGCAACCATGTGTAGTTGGACACTGCTGTTTTGTACGGGTGGCGACGATGACAGCTGGATGTCTGCCGAATGCGTTGTTGCACAAACATACTAGGTATTAGGACAATAAAGAACATGTGGCCGACCGATTTTACGCGCATTTTGCTGCTGCCCTACGGAGAATATGCCGGGGCTTGAAATGTTTCGATTACATGGTCTTCTACTTGTCACCCTCTCACCTGCTCTCCGGAAGCGTGCCACATTCCAGTGGCAGATCCAGTGACCCTGCTCTCAGTGCTCTGCCCCCAACTCCTCACTGCTCTGCCCCTCTACTCCTGTTCTCTCAATGGAATTCACCATTACTGAGTGCTTGTGATTCTAGAGTTTTACGTGCCAAAACCACAATTTGAATGCAAAGCATGCCATTCTGGAGGACTGAATCCATTTTTGCCTCCTGCATTTCTTTACTGCAAGCATATGCATAAATGAGCCTTCTCACAGTTCGCCCTCATCAAAATTCAGCTACCATTGCCAGGACCAAATCTATGACATTATAGCAAGTGCAAGGGAGCAAGGCAGATACAGTGATGGGAACTGTGCCTTAACTAAATGCCTTAGCGCTGACCGATGCATGTGGCCACGAATTGACAGTAACACTCACTCATGAACCTCCTCCTGCGTTGTGTGCCAGCAATAGTATAAGAGTGATCACCACACAGTTCCAGCCATCAATGCAAACTTTCTACCGAGTGCAAATTTTAATCCCTACTTAGGCACCACTGCAGCAAGTGTGAGAAGGTGAGACACAGACAAGTCGTGTTATCACTGAAGACATCTTTCTCCTCATTCACTCACTCACTCACTCACTCACTCACTCACTGAGCTAGACATGGCAGCGGTGGCTAAATTGCAGTGGTGGCTACATGGTTAGAGCCTCGCTTCCAATGCGGGAGGTGCCGGGTCCAATTCCCAGTGCTGACCGGTAAACCACCAGTTTTTCCTTATGGGTAGAGGAGTACACCGACCTGGCGCTCGGTTGCTTCTCATCTCAAAGATGAGAATCATCTTTGAGATGATGACCTATCTCATCTCAAACGGTAGCGCCATAAGTTTCTGCGAAGGCCCCTTGGCGTACCTTAACCCACCTCAGCCTCGGTAAAATAGTTGAGCATCTGCCACTGCTGTGGGAGGCAGAGAATTGCTGCCGCCAGGTACCTACTGGTTAAATAGGTACAAACGCACGTCCGGCCTGGTGCTTGGCAGAATGAAGTTATAGTCGCTTGGGAGGGCACCCACCCCGTGGGAAATCAGTGGCATGGGACCACCAAACCAAAAGTTAAAGTCATCCTCTTTCTTCTTTTTTTTTTTGGAACGTGATCGCTTGTTGTGGTTGTGGGCAACTGCCTAGCAGTTGCTGCTACAGCCTCGGTTTTCATATGTACCAACTCTTTTTGTACCTCAACAGTCAACATGCCAAATCTTGATGAATTACTTTTGAACCTTGTTATAACAAAACACTGATATAGTAAATAATCAATTATGGGAAACAAAATAAGAACTTCCGTTGGTCATTCTTTATCTTGCAAACACTTCTTCTGTTAATGACATAAAAAACATGAGAGCTACCATAATACCAGCTGTAATGAAGAAATATTTGGATCTCACAAGGTTCAAACCTCAAAAAGTAGCATTAAAAGTAAAATAAATATAGAAAGACAATTGACAACCAAACTTTGTTTAAAATGTGGTTGTGGCATAAAAATTTTGGTTTAAGATGTAGTTAAAAAGTATATATATTGAGACAAACTTTGTTCTGTTGTATTTTCACCTTACCATGTCCTACTTAATTTACATTCTACTTAGTTAGGAGTGCCAAAAGAAGACAGGTAAAGACTACAGCATTCACAGTGGCTTTGAACCTAAGAATAATTTGTTTTTGTGTCCAGGATTTCTGCATGAGCCATACTGCTTATTTGTTCATTGTATTCTATGTTAATTATAGCAGTAGAGATAAAAACAGCTATGCTTTTATGTATACTGCTACAATGAACATAGAATACAATGAACTAATTTGTGGTCCTTATTCCACCTTGTTATTACAAGATTTTACTATACTGACTATAGTTACATATAGAGCAAGTTGCACCAACCACACAGATTGAGCTATTGTAGCTGACAGTATACTAACAACTAAAGCGTCATCTTAAATAAAAGGTGCATTTTGTAAGCCCATCTTATCTTTTTAAAACAAGTGCTATAGTAATAGGTGAAATGTTTTTGTGTGAATTAGCAGCAGTTAAAACTGGTCACATAGTTTTTATACCCACACAAAACTGTTGGCTTCAGTAGTCAAGGTAGACCTCAACCTTCTAGCTGCTTTATTATGAAGCCTGCAATTTTTTTAATGTGCTACAAATTATAAAATTGCACTTTAGTTTCATCAATTCAATATGGCTACAAAGAGCTGTATGGTATCCAGCTTGACACAAGGGTCTTTGTTACTTAATGGAAATTGCAGATGCTGGTAACTTGGTATTACAAGCCATGCAACGAAAGTGTGGCCAAAAGCGTTGTGCACAGTATTACATTAAAGATCCTTTCTTATTTGACTTAAGGAACTGTGGGATAAATGTTATCTTCACTGCCACTCAATTTTTCGGGCACACTGAGTTCCCCGTTAGCCACCACTTTCCATAATCCTCTTGAGTATCTAATATTTTAGGCAAAATAGTCAAAATTAGATCTGCAACCATTGTATAGTACTAGGAATAAGCAGTAGAATATAACTATGGCTCTGCATTTCTTGGCCTCTTAGTGATGGTACCCACAAAATTAACAGTAGATAAAATAATAATTATCAATTGGAGGGTCCCTTGCTCTGCAACTTTGCAGTCAAAGCACCACAAACAAGTGAAGAAAAATGCAACTATTCTAGCCACAGTGCTACATACATCTAGGCAAGCCTCTCAGCTGACATCAGCAGTGCTGCCATTGGTTATTCATGAGGCCAATACTACATAAGTGCTTCAAACAGCTTCTCACCATGCTCAAGGCCACCAATGTAGAGGTCAACAGGCATCAATTCACGTGACAAAGCTGGATCTACAATTTTCTGCTGATTTCTCGGGTCAAGAAAGCGCAGGTAATACCAGGAACTGTCGACAAACGTGTCCATGGTGTCCGTCTCACGTGTTGCTGGTCCATAACACCTGCGTTATAAATATCCAATATAGATGCCTCAACCAGCTAGGACTAGAAAAACGGTGTTGAGGATATGCTAAAAAAAAATGATGTACAGTGTATTAAGTACTGGCTACACAATTTGCTTTTAACACAACTTCATGCAGCTTATAAAACAACATAGAAATGGCTTCATGCACAATGTCATCCACAGTCAGAGGAACCATGTAGCACCAATTATGCAGTGTTTTGAATGAAATCCTGTAGACTAATCTTTCTTCAAGTGGTATGTGTATCGAGTGTGTGATACTGATAACATTAAACAGTGTTTTACTCATCTGAATACTATAACTGTACTTGACATTTGAAAAGTTTAGAGAAGTAAAATACACTATCTGCTGAAGCAGTCTCATAATTTTAGGTGTTTCACAATATTCACCATAACATCAATTCCCCAGCAGTAGAATTATCAATAAAATTATTAATGCTGTGAGTGCAATCTAACCTTGTGTTTGAAATAACTCGTTTAGGTACACTCTAAATAGCCCCCCCCCCCACAACAGCCCACTATAAAAAAACTACCAAAACTGCTAAAAAAGGGAGGCTCGTTACACAATACTTGCTAACCAGGCACACATAAAAGGAAATCAAAGTAAAATTATTTACCATCGAAAAGACCTAATTCTGTTAGTAAGGAATATTTTGGCAAATGGCAAAAATATTGTGGAATAGCATGTGTCATACCTGGTTGTCTACAACAGATAGTTTCCATACTTGCAGCAACATGGATTGGTACATTCAGAACAGATGCCTTGGCAGATTAAATGTGATGGTTTAAATTAAAGATAATAATATTTGAGGTTTAACGTCCTAAAACCACACTATAATTATGAAGACGCTGTAGTGGAAGGCTACGGAAATTTCGACCACCTGGAGTTCATTAACGTGCACCTAAATCTAAGTACACGGGCCTCAAGAGTTTCAGCCTCTCATCAAAAATGCAGCCGCCACGACCGGGATCTTACATTAAAAAATATATCTTTATATAGGTCACAGTAATGTTTTGAAAGGTGCTATGAATTGGTTATGTAAAAATTTAGACATAACACTTTGCCACAATTAATATTATTTTACAGAAATTGCTCTGCGAGATGTATGCTAGGGACATCAGGTCAGAGCATGGGTATTGATAAGCTAGAATTGAATAAGGCAATGCAACCAGTGACGTAATAATTATGTGATAATTCAAAACAAAGACATTACAATTCCTTCAAGTTTACGACAAAAAAAAAAAACGATCTGACATATTGGATGTTTTGGTGTACAGTATCATGATTACTTATGCTGCTTCAGAGAGATCATAGGCATTCCCATTATATACAAGACCTGGGACACGGAGTGCTGAGCCAGTCATGGGCACCACACAATGGTGAAACACCTTCCTTGGTCACGTTGTTCAAAGAAGGTAGCTCAACAGGAAGTTGCTCGTATGGCACAGGAACAACCTGAAAAATTGTTGCCACCCCTAAGAAGTTTCAATCAGATCCCATTCACCATTACTAAAGTACAATTAGCCAATTTTCTATGCCAGGTGTCTAAAACTCACCTCAGCGAGTAGGATGCAGTTACAAAATCTGTTCACATTAGGACCGCAATAAGAAAATGTTGAAACGGGGTGAAGGTGGTTGGAGTTTCAATAAAACATCGAATAATGTTGCCTTTTGAAACAAGACGGCCTTTCACAATCTTATTTATGGATCATAGGGATTTCGCCTCAGCTCAGGACTCAATAAACAGTGTGAGAATTGAGGCTAACCCATCGCCATTGCGCGGGCTTTGTCGCCTGTTTCTGCCATTCTCATGCCCTAACATGACTCTCCTCTCCTCCGCGGTCCTTCAGTACTGAATTGAGAGAGTGATGATGACGCCTCTCACCCAACACCGGATCGTACCAGATGTCGATGGTGACGCTACGCACGAGTCTCCCGAGATGTTTGGCGCAAGCCCAGTGGGAGTGAGAGATTCTCTCTGGACATCGAAAGATGAGCACGCATTTTTTTGCGTCCTTCAGCACCCTTTGTTCTTGGAGTTCGCTTGGACTCATCAATAATGCCTTGCGCCCACGACGAACACTTATTTTTTGTTGCCTCTTCCAAATGCTAGGCCAAAGAGCGGTGCAGTGTGTTCGCGGGTGGTCTTACTACGCCAAGTTGTGCCTCTCGCAGACAATGCGAGCGGAGTTTGCCCTCGCTCGAGCAATCAGGCCATGTTGTCACAGATCATGAGGGCGCGCAGCATAGTTGCGAGGGCTCATTTCCTTCAGTGGCGTATCATCGTGAACCCTTTTGCCCATGGATACATGCTCGCGGCACCCTTTGTGTTGTACTTTTCGCCCGTGGCATGGATAAGCCTCATTTGCTTTGCCGCCACCTTTTGCAATGGGTGCTGTATTGCGTTTTTGGTGTTGCCGCAGGCATTAAAATGCTGGGACTTGCTTGAGAGCAGTACTGTGTACTTGCCACACTATGCTCAGCACCTTGGCTGTCCAAACGCGCGTGTGCAGCGGCGATACTGACGCGAGGCGACCCTGAATGCGGCCCTGTTGCTCGCTAAGACCGAATACACGCTAGTGACTGTACTGCTGCGAAATACATGTACAACACAACATCTATACTGATCTCCAGAATGACTGAAATTTAGATGCCAATTCTGAAATACTGAGCTTTTGTTCTAAGCTTCTGTGTCAACACATGGTGACTGCATAGGGTAACTCACAAAAAATACGGGACGAAGGCAGCCATGTGCGGGCAGCCTGTTTGACCTTTGGTATATATATAGTTCACATTTCTTCAGACATGGTACTTTAAAAAACGTTACACAGATATTTAATAGATTTTATCTCGATTTCACCAACATAATGCTACAGCCTCTACAACATCAGTATTGGTGTTATTCACTGTTGAGCTTTACACAATATACTTACCTGCTCTTTTATTTTCATACTCATAGCTCATAAATAAGGGTTGGTGGTGCCATAAAAAACACTGACAGCTCCCAAATATAGCACAATCAGCAGAGCCAGAATGGTACAGTCATCTGTACCATTGTCTTAGTGTACCCATTTTAAATAACAAAATCCCTCAATACAACACGGTAATATCAATGATGACGAACAATTGAAAATGTGACCAGAAGTTACTTACACTTACAGGCCAATTTCTAACTCTACAGTAGAGTGATTCTTAAAAGTGTGACAGATATAAACATTTATTCTTTTACAGTTTTTTTTTTTTTTTGCCGAACATTATTTGTGTGAGCAGACATTATAACTTGCGTGAGAATCACCAATAAACTCTTCAAATAAATACAAGCCAGTGCACGATGGTGCTTAAGGGACACTTACTCAGTATGTGCAACCTCTAGCAAAAGTTTGTGGGATGCAAAATTTTTGAAAAACTCTATATCTTCACTTTTTTTGGGAACATAGCCTCCAATCAAATGTTCCAGCCAGTAGCAGTTCTTGCGACCTATATAGTTACTCGCTAGATTAGAAGTGTGATGTACTAACAGAGCTAAAATTCACACTTGCCGTTGAGCCCACATCTCAAAAACTTTTGCTACGACGTATAACTTACACCTAGCACCACATATATCTATTTACATAAATGTGGTGCAGTAAAATGGAAAACCATAGTCACTCATTACTTTCGCAGAATTATGAAGACACAATTGTGTGAATAAATACATTTCAAATATCTCGATAATGCTAAGTCTCAGTAATTCCAGGTAGTATTGATGTAGTATCACTATTCCAGGTGGCCTTGAGTAATTACCTGCTTAAATTCTTCTGTTTCAACATTTTAAATTTCATAAAAAAGATCCAATTAAATTATCACAAACTGCCGTGTGGTTACTACAATTCACCTCTTTAGGTAGTGCCACTAGTGTCCTCCATGATAAACCAGTCAGTTCAAAGTGGCACTAGTCTTGCCCCAATCACTCTTCAGTTTTGCAAAAAACACACAGCTCCTAGGGAGGCTTCAAAAATCTGTCACCTTGCTCATCCCACCTAATGGCACACTGACAATGGGAAATCTGCCATCTAAAACTGCATGCAACACAATTTGGCAGTGCTGATACCCACCAACAGTAACCCTTTATTGTGCCAACGAGCTCCAGACCAATTATTGCAGCCACTGCTGCCAAACTGCCTCACTACAGTACAATCATTGTGGTTGAAGCACAGCAAGAAGTAAACAAAAGGAAACACATCACCCCCACAGGAGTTTAAGTATGCATAAGCATTGGCATGGTGTCAAAGAGACCACTTATTCAACTGGCCCACACTTAATTTCTCAATAGTTCATCCCCAAATGTTTCATTTGGACTTCTACAACTGCAGCCTTCCCACACACTTTTCATGAAGCCCGATGTATTCCTACAAGAAACATACTACATTACAGTCATGGTTTCACTTGAATTTTCACAGAAAACTTGGCAAAAAATGTTGATGCAGGAAGAGAAAAATAAAAGGACCTAACAAATTAAACAAGACTGGAGAAAACGTGATGATAAATTTTTAGTGCTCCAGCCACATTGCCAGCTCTGCACAAGGCACGAGCTGGAGCTGTGAGCCAGTGGTTGCTGCAATGTCAACTGCGTTGTGTTCAGATGTAGTGTTCAGATGTAGCCTCACTTTCGGCCCAGTGTTTTCATTATATTTTTGGTGGAGGTGCTGGGTATTCCTCTTCACTACAATCCCAGTTCTGGCCCAGTATTTTCATTACACTAGCAATAGCCTCATATAGAGTATTCTGTGCTTCCTTGTAAGTAGTAGTCACAGAGTAGAAGGTGATAGCAGCAAAGCATTGTGTTCTGGCGACATGGTGAGCAAGTACTGTAGATGAGACATTTTCACAGCAGCAGAAGGATTCCATTATCTGTAGATTCTGAGTTTTCCAATTATGAGCATGGCTTAAGGGGCCCTTGAGCCAATCCTAAATAAAATAATTTTTACCATAACTGTTAACTTTTTATTAGTTTTGATGTTTGCTCAAATGCCAGTGTCCAAGCTACAGAGAAGTAAGTGCCTCTCTGTCGAAGAATGTTAGCTTAATGTTAAGTTAAGGAGATACATAAGGCGTGGCAGCAAAAAGTGCCTGATATAGTCTGCAGCACTCACCCCACAAGTTGTGCAGTGTATGATGGGGATAGGTGTACCCCAGTAGCGTTGCCTAGAGATGAGCCAATCCTTGAGGTGACTACTGCAAGGATAGCCACCCCGGCCTTGTTGCTGTGCCTGCTGGCACACTTGCAATCGTGCAGCCTTGGCAGACAGGCCCGTTAGCTGCCGTCAAAAAAGGATAGCACAAAATATCAAGCGTCATGTGTAGCTGAAGATAGATAAAAGAGTGCATGACTCAATCATAGGGCACACATGTACACCATGACACAAAGTAATCAAGACCCCAATGAGTACTCTAACAGTGGTGGCTATAGCCACTCCTGTAACTGAAGGGCTACCACATTGTGTGGCTGAGCATTAAAGCATGAGTGTAATTACCAGTAATGGCAGCCATATTTCTAATAGAGGTGAAATAGAAAAATGCTTGAGAACTTAGATTTAAGAAAGTGTTAATGAGCCCCAGTTGGTCAGAATTATTTAGAGTCACTGCTGCAGTGTGGCTCATGACCATATGTGGTTCTTGCATGTAAAGCCCCATATCTGAATTCTACACCTTTGTAAGTGTTTCCAAGGAGAAAACAAATGTTATCTGGATAAATATGATGCAAAAGAGAAGCTGTGATGTCTTTGAAGATTTCCATAAACGTAACACGAAATGATGATACATGTATGGTGTAGCCGTGCTAATGGAAGCTTTTAAAGCAACATGGTGAGTAATCCGCTATGCTATGGTCACACCAGCAGGAAAATGTATGGAGTGTAATGTGCACCACGAAAATTGGCAGGCAGCAACATTTCCAACTGAAAGGATACTATCCTACTTGTATGCAAGGCAGCATTCACATATACAGTGCTATAGATATTGCTGTAGACATCCCTTGCACACCACATGTTAAAACATTCGAACTACGTGTGACACAATGTACAGAGGAGCCAAAGGTGAGTATATTAAGATAGCTGCAATAGTGCAGTGAGGTAATGTCAGTGTGCTCAGTTGTTGCTCGAAGGTTTCCCTAAATTTAAAATTTTGGGGATCGCCAGTATCTTTCAGAGCACTGAGGAACATTTACATCTATGCAAACTTTTTAGCAATCTTTACTTTTACGTGAATCATGTCATGTCACATATCATTCAAACATTTAGACAGGCTATATTAGAAGCAAATCAGACTACAGTGTACAAACTACAAGTTTATTTTTGTGTTTTGCCACATACGATCGGTGCCAATTTGCATTCCATATAGCCGAACCTCAATTCAACAAGGCTACGACTGCAGTTCACATTTTCAAATTTTGTGATACAAAAACTTAGGTCCATATGCAGTAGCACCCAAAATGACTATATGCTGAAAATACTTTTGGATATCTTATTGCAAATGTAGAAATAATTGTATGCACAAATAGAACCACTCAGCCTGATATGGATAATAGCATTTCACCAGAATTTCAAGCATAAATCACAGTGACTATACATTAACCAAAGCTACAAGGGAAATTATTTTGAGAACAAGCAGAGCATGTTTGCTGTAGTACAAGGATGAAGTCTGCAATATCCAATGTGTAACATGTTGTCGTTAATGAAAAAGGCCAGCATTTAAAAGGAACTAATAATTTTTTTCAATTATGTCACAAAAGTAGTTGTTGTCAGAAAAGTAGTAATGTTTCTCTGTATATCATTTCTTTTGTGAAATATTTCGATTCACTAAACATATGGGTGTGCGAATAGTGAATTTTAGAACCGAATCAAATGCTGATAGCATTGAATCGAATATGAATAAAATACTATTTGAATAGTTTTCACATAGTAAGGCAATAAATTTCGAAGCAGGTCTAGACTGGTAAGGGGACAATTTTCTAAATAGCCCAAGCATCCCACTACATTATATTTAAAATTATTAATTACAAGCTTTTACAAAGGAATGGTAATATTACTTTTGCCGGCCTCCCCATCCATTCACCCAAAAAATTATTTAAACTGAGCAGCAACAAGAGCCTTTGAAATATTTTGTCACTGTAGGCTAAAATATAGCAGTGGCTACAGTATTGAAGGTGGTACTTTGTCAAAAGCTTTTTAAATAAAACTGATACACAGATATTAAAAAATTTTAATGAGTTAACATCATCATAAATATCATGAAGATAACTGAAGATTGGTGACACTCTTGCTTCAGCAACACTGGAGCTTTAGGCAAAATGCCTTCATCTTGTGATCAGCATGGTCTCAATAGTACAAGGACTGCACGCATATCAGTAATTTGATGGTGCAAAAGAAAAATTACCTCTTACTGTTCCCACATCTTGTTTCTTAAAGTATTTTTATCAATGCAGATTATTCAAAAGCAATTTAAAAAATATTCTGTATTTCAAATATGCACTATTCAATTCGAGTACCGAATCGAATACAATGGTAATCAATTCATAAATTGAAATTTTCAAATACTTGCACAGTCTACATAAGAGCCACAGTAATAATTTTAAATATTAATAAATTAATGAAACAGAAACTGGGAAAGGTAGCCCATGAATCTGTAGGCTTGAAATGTTAGTGGTGATGGAGCAAGAAGGAAAGCACTTTAAGAAAAGTTGAATTACAAAGACTTCTATCATGGAAATTTTTTTTTTCTAAAGTCATGCTGCTGTAGAAAATTCATGCCAGCAAATAAACTTGACACTGTTGCTTACAGCAATAACGATATCCTGCACATTGCTTAAGCACAGAAGTTTACTCATTTGCTGTGTTCGGTACATAAGGCTTGCTGAATCTAGCTGTTTTTACACATGATGACGTCCTAAATAAGGCCGATATCACAGTAGTCAACTTTCTTGTTTTTTGGTGTCTACCAGTGTTTACGAGTGTCTAAACTAAACCTTGGAATCAGTTTTGCTCACCCTCTTCTGCAATGTTACAACAGACTTGTGACATTTTATCACATAGCTGTACTTTATGGCTCCAAAATTTTCATGCTTACCATGCCTGAATTGATAAGATGTGTTGGGTCATCCTCATTGACAACCCTAATCACTTCAATATCATGCTGAATGGCAAATGCAAGATCTTCTTTGCACAGACTGGGTGTTCCTGCAAGAATATTTAATTTGACACTTCAAAACCTTTCACTTAAGCCATGGTAGCAAGCTGACTAAAAGAACAATGGCTTTCACAAATGTCACAAAAATACTTAGTGATGTATCCGTGACGTCACGCCAGCCGAAGCCGCCGTTATCACCACTGCTTCTTCTCCTTCCCTTCCCCTTAACCCCTCTCGCACAACGCTACATTAACCCGCGCTATCGCAATAAAGTTTTGGTCTTGGCCCAGCCACGGCCCTGGCGTGTTCGTTACAGTGGCGACGAGGGCGGGACAAAAGCGGTGCGGCAACTCCGTCCGTCATGACCGCCGCACCCACGGGAGGATACGCCAGCCCGCCGCAGTTCGACGAGGCGAGCGACAAGTGGCCCGCGTACCAGGTTCGGCTGGAAGCCTTCTTTGAGGGAAATGGCATCACGGAAGACAACAAGAAGCGGGCCCTGCTGGTGACTGCACTGTCCACCCACACCGTCGACGTACTGAGCGGACGTTGTGCTCCGGATAAGGTGAATGAACTTTCGTACCCACAAGTGATAGCCTTGCTTAAGCAGCACTTCTCGCAGCAACCGAACGAGATAGCACAGTCTTATAAGTTCTTCACCCGCAATCAGCTGCCCGGCGAACCGGTCAAGGATTTTGTCGTGGCGATTCGACAGATAGCGGACACCTGCAATTTTGGTGCTTCGTTGGACAGAATGCTACGAGATCGCATCGTGTGTGGTCTGCACAACGTCGGAGTGCGTCGGCAGCTACTCGCGAAACCACAGCTGACGAGGAGCGAAGCGGAAGAAATTGCAATATCTACCGAAATGGCCGAGGCCAACGCGCAAGAGATAGTAAGCCCCACCGCCGAGGCAAGTGTGCATGCGCTGGGAGGCCAGTCCTATCGCCCACAAAGCCGGCCACAGATTGTTGGGTGCTACCGCTGCGGAGCAAAAGGGCACGGACCCGAGGATTGCCGCTTCCGCTCGGCGTCATGCTTCAAGTGTAAACAACGAGGTCATATCGCTCGAGCCTGTTGCCGCCGTGAGAGTGGGTTCGGGGTGGTACCACCAGAACGCCAAGTACACGCCTTGTCGCGGGAGGAAGACACTGGCACGGACGGTATGTTCGCGCTGGAGGCAGCGGACAGTCACATCGGCCACGTCGGCATTACGCAACCCATCGTGCGCACCTTGGATTGTGGTGGGGTTCCAGTGAACATGCAGGTCGACACAGGCTCGCCGGTTTCGGTCATCACGTGGCCCACATATGAGCGGAACAAAACAGTGTGGCCGAAGCTGCGTGGTTCGCCATTGAAACTCACCTGCTTCCTGGGACGGCTTCCAGTGCGGGGACAACTTCAGCTCAAGGTTTCGTGCGGAAACAAGTCGACGGCTGGATCTTTGCAAGTCCTTGGTTGCTCCGGCCCAAACCTCTGCGGACGCGACCTGATTCAAGCGTTCCACATGCTCGAGGCACCGGTAATGAACGTGAACACGTCAGGTGAGCAACTGCCGTTACTCGGTGCTGACGACGTTAACGTGGACCGGTCGCTAGCAGAATTCGCTGATGTGTTCGCGCCAGGTTTAGGGCTCATAAAAGGGCCACCGGTACACTTCGAGACGCGAGAAAACGTGGTGCCGAAGTTTTGGAAAGCACGCGAAGTTCCGTATGCTTTTCGGCCAAAGGTCGACGCGGAACTGGACCGCCTTTCGGGCGCGGGTATTATTGTACCGGTGCCTCATGCGGAGTGGGCGGCGCCAGTGGTACCGGTAGTGAAACGGAATGGCTGCATCCGCCTTTGCGGCGATTTTAAGCTAACGGTCAACAAAGCCTGTCGCACTGAGCAATATCCGTTGCCACGGGTGGAGGATATCCTGGCTACATTAAATGGCGGTGAAGTTTTTACCACGATAGACTTGCGGGAGGCATACAACCAGCTTCCGTTGGATGAGGAAGCCATGCACCTCACGACCATAAACACGCATAAGGGACTGTGCAGCTTTACTCGCCTGCCTTTTGGAGTGGCGTCCGCGCCGGCCGTGTTCCAACGGCGTATGGAGACCATTTTGCAGGGACTTCCGGGTGTTCAGGTCTACCTAGACGACGTCATCGTGGCAGAGAAACGCAATGACTGCACCACCCTGCACGATGTATTCAAGCGTTTCTGGGAATACGGCGTGCGCCTGAACGCAGACAAGTGCAAGTTCCGCCAACTAGAGGTGGATTTTTTGGGGCATCGAATCAGCGCTCGAGGTCTTCAACCAAAGACGGAAAACATAGACGCCATCCTTAAGGTTCAGGCACCACGGAATTCCGCAGAATTAAGGTCCTACCTCGGCATGGTAACGTACTACCACAAGTTTCTTCCCAATGCATCGACCGCCATGGCACCCCTATATCAACTACTCCGGAAGGAAGCTAAGTGGAAGTGGGATACCGCTCAACAGCAGTCATTCAGCAGTGTGAAAGACCTTCTGAAATCCGCAGACTTTCTGGCGCATTTTGACCCACACAAGCCGCTAGTCCTGGAATGCGATGCCTCCCCGGACGGAATAGGCGCAGTGCTTTCACACGATGTCGGGGGCGGAGTACTTCGGCCCATAGGGTTCCGCTCTCGGTTATTGACTGGAGCTGAAAAAAATTACTCGCAGCTGGAGCGTGAAGCCTTGGCACTTGTGTTTGGTGCGTCGAAATTCCGACAATACTTGCTCGGCAATACTTTCACATTGATGACGGACCATAAGCCGCTTGTTGCACTTTTTCACCCAGACAGGCCAGTGCCCGTGATGGCCGCTGCGCGAATCCAACGGTGGGCCCTGCTGCTGAGCGCCTACGATTACGTCATCAAACACCAGCCCGGGAAAGACAACATTCCAGCCGATGCCCTCAGCCGACTCCCCACGTCAGCAACTTCCCAGCCAGAGACGCAGGAAGAAACTGTGGACGGTGAGTATGTCCTGCTCACGGAGACCCTCAATGATGGTGTCATGTCTGCGAAGCAACTGGGCACTCTCACGGAGCTTGATGACGATTTAGCAAAGGTGCAAAAATGGGTGCAGGAGGGATGGCCAAGAAATTTGGGGCCTAAGGACCAGCACTTGATGCCATACTTCAACCGGAAAGCTGAGATAACGGGGAGTTATGGGCTTCTATACTGGGGCCATCGAGTGATCGTCCCTAAGAGTGCCCGAGCAGTGATGTTACGTCTGCTGCATGATACTCATCAAGGGATTTGCTCAATGAAGCGGCTAGGGCGCTCCTTGATGTGGTACCCCCGGATCGATAATGACATTGAGCACATGGTTAAGTCCTGCACCAGTTGCATCCAAGCTGCCCCTATGCCCCCAAAGAAACCCCCTGTTGCGTGGCCAGAAACGGATGAGCGTTGGTCGAGGCTGCATATCGATTTTGCGGGGCCGATCGATGGTCACATGCTACTGATTGTGGTGGATTCACATAGTAAGTGGATAGAAGCGATACCCATGAAGAGTTCCACCACACACGCCACCATAGAGGTTCTGCGCACCTTGTTCAGTACATTCGGGTTGCCCCGGACGCTGGTATCCGATAATGGCCCACAGTTTACGAGTTGGGAATTTAACACCTTCACGAAGCTGAATAACATAGTACACCTCCGAACAGCACCGTATCACCCCCAGTCCAATGGGCTCGCGGAGCGGGCGGTTCGTACGGTGAAGGATTCATTGAAGAAGAATGTACAAGGGTCACTGAAAACCCGCCTGGCTAGGATTTTGCACAGGTACCGCAGGACGCCGCAGGCCGGGGGCCGGACACCAGCGCAACTCCTAATGGGCTACGATCTTCGCTCCAGGCTGGACAACGCAGTGTCCATTCCGCCCTCACCAGTTGACCGTCCCCCCCTCGATGGGTGGCAGCCCGGGGAGCCAGTCTGGGTGAGGAACTTCGGGCGAGGCGAGCCGTGGACTCCAGCCAGCATTACATCGACAGACGGAGACCGCCTGGTGAATGCCGATGGTCCGGAGGGGGAAACCATTAGGCGCCACAGCGACCAGGTGAAGCCACGGGAGTTGGAGCATGACCAGGGAGAAGTCGGTGACTCTCGGTGCCTCGAAACTGCCGGCGGGGCCCTAGCAGGAGGAACACCGAGGCGAGCGCCAACAAGGAGCGAGATCGCCGGGAGCCCCTCAACTCCGGTGTTGCGTCGCTCGGGCCGGCAACGCAAACCCCCAGACCGTTACTCACCGTAGGGGGAGCGGAATGATGTATCCGTGACGTCACGCCAGCCGAAGCCGCCGTTATCACCACTGCTTCTTCTCCTTCCCTTCCCCTTAACCCCTCTCGCACAACGCTACATTAACCCGCGCTATCGCAATAAAGTTTTTGTCTTGGCCCAGCCACGGCCCTGGCGTGTTCGTTACACTTAGAAGTGAAGATAAAGCATATTATAATTGACATACAAGATGAAAAAGACAAAATTTTGTTTCTACAAAAGTTTGCATTAATAATGTTATGTGAAAGATGGGGTGATCACACTGGAGACTATTTACAACATATATTTACAATTTCAGTAACAGCACTGACCAGCTTAGCTGGAAGCCTAAACTAGGTCAGTTCTTCCTCACTTTTGCTGGTAACCAGTGTGTGTCACTCAACAAAACACACAGTGTGCATGTAGTATTATCCTCGGCAGCCGAAGTGCCATCCTGGCATGTCTAAATGTCAAGGTTAATATAGAAGTGACAAGGTTTTAAATGTCCCTTAACTATGGGCAGCCAAGGTCACGGGAGTGAGAGGGATGATTTCATATGTCACAGGAGGGTACTTTCCTTCATTTCATGTCATATTTGGTCTAGCCATCATGAGTATGTTCTAAATGGACCAATTCGCTACGTTACATCATAGCAAAAAGCACAATGCATGGGCCTGTCTACCTACACAGCAGCTCTTTGAATATACCAACATGATTGAATGGAGTCATTAACATTACCAAAAAACCTATAGAGCAATGAAATATATGCATAAGTTCTATATGAATATGTAGGACAAATTCGGGGAAATTAATTTTTTCATAAAGCACACACAGGGTAACCACTCAACATCAGTCACAACTTTCTTATTGGCAGTCAACATTGAGAAAATTTTAAAACTTCTGTAACAAAGGAATAAAACACATTATTAAAATTAACAGGAAACATCACAACGGCATCAGAGTCTGAGCCATTTAGATATACTCTTTTGTGCTGTTTTATATTTTTTCCCCAGTTTTCTATTGAGCCAACAGCATGAAAAATGGTTTGTTCACTTGACGATATCTTCATTTTAGTGCTCAAAGGACAAATGCATGAGAGACAACTGGACAAGCACTACAAGTGGTTTGTTTACATCTACGGTTACCCAATAGCAGTAGCCCTTACTGTCAAAGTTGCACTGTTTTTTCCAGTGCATCCATTTGTATGGCACCTGAGGGAGGTGATTCTATATATTGACGCATTTAATGTGTATTTAAAGATGCGCAAGTTCCAGCAATGGAGGAGTTATTGTATGTCTTGTGCATGCCAGTGACTATAGGAGACCACGTAACACTCACCCAAATGGCAATTAGTAGCTCGAGGAAACTGAAAATCGCTAGACACCAGCAATGGAATTTTCTTTCCGGATATGGGGTTTAGTGCATAATATTTGCCCTTTCCTGTAGCACTGCTAGAGGAATTTTCAATGGACAATGCCATGCTGTGGTCTGGTGAAAGAGCCACAAATGTCACTGCACCCAGGAACTCAGGTTCCTCAGTCCACACACGCAACAGATCTGAATGAGGGTTCCCATTGCTGTCGATGACACTCCATTCAAATGAAAATCCAGTGCAATCGCCGATCCAGCCACGCTGAAGGGGGCCTACCTCATCCCAGTTGTTGCGTTCAGAGTCACGAAGGCCTTCAAGAAGGTCCTGAAAGCAGCAAATTATTAGAACATAAAGGCTTGGATATTCATGACAAATGCAGCTGGCAAAACTTTTAGCTGGTTTACACGAACACCAAATTTATGTAAAGCACCTCAGGACAGGGACCTAACAGATGATCCATCTATAGGCTTGAGGTTTGTGAGCATGAGCTTAACCTTGACTGATTCACAATCTTACTCCATCAAAGTGTACTGGAAAGCAGGTAGCTAATGCTTTGGCTGGCTGTATATAGGCACAAACATTTTGATGGCACATGAAAAACCTGAGGTAATAATGCATGGAATGGAAACATGCATCCTAAGGACACATTTTTACTTCACTAGATTCACTTTTTTTCAACTTGGCATTCAGTACAGATTCCTATATCTTTCTCTGCAGTTTCATGACAGCCATGTATGCTGGTCATACAACCTCAGTGTTAAGCAATTTATGCTGTACACTTGCTCTATAGAAAAAATGTTAGTGAAAATGTTGGTGGCTTTTGAAACTGGCTGAAGAAAGCCAGCATGTACATTGCAATGTGCTGCCTTGACTGCCATGTGTTAAAGGCCAGTAAACAACCCTAAGGTCGAAGAATTGTTATGGAGAAAAATATCCATACTTTTGCTATGTGAATATGCTGCCGCAGGAATTTCCCGAATACGTGCTGTAATAAGGAAGTTACAGGGGTTTTCACGCGGCCTCATCACCCCTCTGCACCATTTGGAGGGTGAAGGCATAGCCCATCGTGGTGACTCCACCCACTTTGGCAATGTGACATGATGTGAGCAATACATCAGTGGCACGCAGCCAAGGACCGAGCAGGGCATCCCTAATATGAGCACTTATCATAGTGGTGTGGGAAGAAAGCGCAGTTCGAGGAGCATCCTTTATCTAGAGGAGACAGCTCCTTATCTCAGAGGCTTTCATTATGGCAATACTGCTTCTCTCGGGTTCTACAAAACAGCAGAGGGCAGCACAGGAAAATGAAAATGTGGACTGCTCAACCGAAACTGCATCATCGCACGAACAATGTACCATTTCATAGGGCAAAGAACCAATCGACGAGCTCAGTGGTATGTAAAGTTGCTTGTGGGCACGCTTGTATCACTTCCCATACGAGGGGAATTGTTCAGGAGAAGGAAATAGGCATAGGAATGGTTTTTCGAAATGAAGGGTTTGCGAGGCATGCAGTGCTGTAATACTCAGGAAATGTGATCGCTGTGGTCGACAGTATGAATTTCCGAGCTTGTCTGAAGGGTGTAAAAAAAAAAAAAGTTGGAGCATGTTTACTAACCCTTACAAACTGCCACCTATCTAAAGCAAATGATGACACCTTCCTTCAAAACAATGTAACAAGAGATAAAAAGAGGCCGTACCCAGAGGGAAGGCACAGCTTGAGATTATCAAGCACCAGCCATGGTTCCAAGTTAGGACTGCATAGCTCACAGCTTACAACAACAACAACAAAAAAAGGAAAAGAATTGATGAGTTGCAAGGACAACAGAAAAAAATATCACAGCATATCCATGGAGTGAATGATGATGAGTGGGGCGAAGCGTCCGTCAGCCCGTCCGTGCATCCATCTATGCATACGTCCGTATGTCCGCGCATCCGTCCATCCATCCGTCTGCTAGTCTGTCTATTCGTGCGTCCACCTTGTGAATACTCCAAGTACCGCCATCTCCCATCTCGCATCCCCTGTGGCACATACTCGCTCTAGAGCGACCTGCGCCTCTGATGGCTATCTACTACTACATACATTGGAGGATGTACAGATCCATGCCTTAAAGAGCTTCGCCCCTGAAAAAAATACCGCTGCCAAACACCATTTTCTTTCTATTGTCCTTATGTAGGCTTAAGTGGCAGTACACGTGATATGCACAAACTAGCTCAAAAAAACACTAAGTCAATGTCAGAGCTGTGCACTAGAATATTTTAATTGTCTAGGAAAATAAAAAATGGTGGAATAATTGCACCGATACAATGATTAAATTACAATGCAACGTAATCATTACCGTACACAGGGTCTTCTAATATAGAATTCCACACTGATGTGGCTCCATCTATGTAGGTGAAACCGAGTGCTGCCTCAGCAAAACGCTTGTAAAAGTTAAAAAAACAAAGTATGCTGTAGATGGGAAGTTAGTTGATTACAATCTTCCATATCTTAATAAATTTGTGTTACATATATTGTAATTTGAAGTACCTTATATACTTAACTGATTATGTAGGCTGCCATAATTAGGCAAGGCATCTTTGACATGCTTATTGTGCAATAAATAGCACTGATGTAAAAAAATTACATTTTCTTGAATGTGTAAGCATAAGGTGATTTTTACAGGTGCATTATTTCCCACACTTATAGTATTATATGTCGGTCATTCCACGCCAACTGTCCCAACCTTTGCGCTTGAACATCTGCGACTTACCTAAAGCCAAAAGTGCTCCCCCAAAACATTCTTTGTGAAAAAAATTTTCCAGTATCGCAAAGCTTCATGTGAATTTCACATGAAAAATTTCACACGAAGCTTGGCGATACTGGAAAATTTTTTGGGAAGCTCAAAACCATGGCTCGTAAAATACATCGAAAAATCCATTCTTCCCAATTAGGCTAATACAAACTTTTACATTTGGAACAATGATAGGCTTTTGACTTAATATAGGTTTTACGAAGTTTTAAGCTTTTGTTGGTTTTTTTGCGGCCTCTAATACGAAAAATATGGTCCATATTGTGGTAGTTAACATTCGCATGTTCATTTTTGCACATGTTTGGTCGTAAATTCAACATTGAGGTGGTCATAGTAAAAATATGCTCCAATAGCAGATTTACTAACAACTTTCATTGCCTAGTGACTGATAAGGTTTTATCAAATTACTCTTTGTTTTAAACGAGAAAAAATATTTTTGAATTTGTGTGTAACCTGCTCTCTGTGTTTGCACATGTTTATACATCATAGCAATGCGTCATAGTGGTAAATACAAGCTGCGGGAATGTGGGAATTATCTAGACAACATAACCAGCTTTGTTCGTGCTTGTTTAAAATATTTACTAGCTAGTAAACCCTGCGTGAACGAGAAATACGACACCTACTAGACTGCATTTCATCACAAGCAGCTGTTTGCTGGCAGCCTGCACAGCATGCTTATGCAGCACCGGGAAGTAGCACTGACATGTGCAACACGCCATTATCTATGTGGTAAATTTAGAAGTACAAAGAACGTAACCAAAAAAGAATCATTTGAAGGAAAAATTAAAAAAAGGTATGTGTTGCATGGCAGCTAAGTAGCAGTTATGCACCAACATATGGTCGCTGGTGCAAGATAGTTAATTATATATGATTATCTTGGTTTTAACTGCAAGTTATCCATGATGCAAGACATTTTTTATTTTATTTTGATATATCATTTTCTTAATCGTAGTGCTCTTCCTAACGGTGTGTTGCACACATCGGTGCCACTTTCCGGTGCTGCGTAAGCATACTATGCAGGCTATCAGAGGGCAGCTGCATGTGATTAAATGCAGCCTGGTACGTCTCGCATTTTCGTTGACTCAAGGTAATACTAGCTAGTAAATAGTTTGAATAAGTACAGACAAAGTTGCTTATATTGTCTAGATGATCTCCATGTCTGTGCAGCTTGTACTTACCGCTAGGATGCATTTCTACGGTGTATAAACACAAGCAAACAGTGTGCATTAATACACAATTTTTCTTGCCTAAAACAAAGAGTAATTTGATAAAACCTTATGAGTGAGTAGGCAATAAAGATTGCTAGTAAATCTTCTATTGAGCATATTTTTACTAGGATAGCCTCAATGTTGAATTTACGACCACACATGTAAAAAATAAATATTTTTGCAACTTTGTCACCACCTGTACACTTTATTTCGAACTGTATATGCCTGAAATTATTTTTAGTCTATAGCAAAACATTCTAGTAATATGCTAATGCCAACTATCACATTTGATTAAATGTTGTATTTTTATAAAACAATCTTCAATATGGACCATATTCTTCATATTTGAGGCCGTATAAAAAACCCACAAAAGCATAAAACTTCCTAAAACTTATTTTAATTTAAAAAGCCTACTATTTTTAGAAAAAATGGATTTTTCAACAATGTATTTTACGAGTCATGGTTTTGAGCTTTCCAAAAAATATTCACAAGAGGCTTGCAATACTGGGAAACATTTTTTCACAAGAATGTTTTGGGGGAGTACTTTTGGCTTTAGGTAGATAGTCTTCACATTTCTTTTTCAGGCAAATCGCAGGTAGTTGAGCGCCAATGTTGGGACAGTTGGCGTGGAATGACCCATGTATGTTTTCTATGCTGTTTGGGCTTCTTTTAGACCGTTTAGTAGCAGAGCGCTGCCTTCATAACCACCATTTGCTATGCAATAAACTTTCATCAAAAGTAGCAGTTTTGCTTGTCTCACCTTTTCAAATCCTAGTTTTCTTGTTTGCTTACTATATAGGCTGCTTACTAAATACTACATTCAGACTTTATTCATGATGGTCACATTATATAACACCACAAAGCTTATAATTTAATGCCAAGTCTGCTTTGATTCAGTGCACAAAATAACTCACGATCCGAATTTCTTTCAACAGAATTTGACTCTGAAATACACCTGCACACTCACGTATGAATCATTCTTCAAAGTTCCAGCTTAAAAAAAAAAGAGGTATAACTATTCCTTGCAGATGAATAGTTAGATCAAACGTTTGGATTTCCATTTATCAGATGATGCTACAGCATCTAGTGCTTGTCACAAGTTGGAAGTGCAAAACACCCTAAAAGCCCAATTCTTCTATACATGGTATGTAGTGACATGATGACATGGTATGTTATTTTGGTTCCACGGAGGGGTATAATCATAAGGCATCAAGCAAAGCTAAAATGCTTTATTATCACAGTTTGCAATGATGCGGTGCTCAGCAACATGTCAAACTTCGGCAGTTTGCTCATGTACATCCAAATTACGCTTGTTGGAGCTAGAAATTTCGCTCAAAATAACATCCCATAGGTTTCAATGATTGAATTTAAAAGAATTTTGCTCTAATAAGATACATGCAAATTTGCAAAGATGTGCTAATTTTCCAAGAACAAGCATCTAGCTCAAATCGATTCAAATGAAGAGATATTTGATTAACAAGATATAACTGTGTGCTACACTGTCTTAATAAAAAGCAAATTCGGAAATAACACCAGTTGTCTAGCAGAAGAAATTCATAGCAACAATTGTGCTAATCCTTTACCAAACCCACAAAATATGTCAGCTAGCAAGCAGACACGACGACACAGTGAAATAAGCTAATAAACTAATGAACATACCTTAGAGAAATAGGTAGTGCGAATGAACCACTGACGGAGGTTTTTCTTTTCCACTTTGGCGCCCGAACGCCAGGAGCGACCTTCAGCATCTACTTGCTCATCTGCCAGCACTGTCTGGTCCACAGGGTCCCAGTGAACCACTGCCTGCACAATGCAGTTCAATTCAGTTTATTTTACTATAAACCACAAATACCTGTTATAAGCATAGGCTTGGAAATTAGCTAATCATGTATATTTGTCACACTCTGGCATGGCCTAGTGTAGTTTCACAAAAGATGGAATTAAGACTACGGTAGACTCTCGTTAAACGGAACTTGAAGAGACCAGGAAACTATGTTCCACTTAAAAGGAGTTCTGTTTACTCAGAGAAAACCAGGGCTGCACAATGTAGGTATGAAACCAATTTTGTCAGAAGTACTTGTTCCATTTATACAGCAGTTCTGATGAAAAGATTTCTGTTTACCGAGAGTCTACTGTATTTGAATCCCTAAAAGGAAGAGGTCCCTAGTTTGTTTCAAGGTTTCAACATCAGATGCAGTGGATAGAACAACACCAGATGTGAAAGAGAGCTAAGGAAGAGCATGGAAGCCATTGATAGTTTTTATTTTACCCAAGCTTGTGCACATAAGGGGTGCCTCTATTTTCTTTCTAATCTCACTTGCAACAAGACTTTTAGTGAATCTTGGAAAGGTTTACCTGGAGGCATGCCTATCATGCTATTCCAGATGGGTTGATGGTTAATAAAATAACATGCACAGTGCACAGCATGGGTGCAAGATACACAAAAAATGCAACACACAAGTTAAAGCAACTAAATAAGAACAGGCTCTCTGCAGTAGTGTAAATATGTTTTAATTACACAAGAAGAATTAGTCTAAGAATCAAGAATATTTATTAGCACTAGAGATTACTTACTTTAATAAATATTCAAAGTATACTTGACGGCTTTTATTTCTTAACCTGAACACAGCGATTATGAGGGATCTGTCTTCCAAGACACTGCACACAGAGCACAGGTGTGACTTTATTCACTTGATATTAAACAGGATGTGTTTATTATTTGTAACATTTAATGCAGTGTAGGCATGCCTGATTAAGGCCACATGACATGTAGATCTGACACACAGGACTGCAAGTGCACATAGGTTTTTGCTGTTATTTGGAGTCAGTCCAGACAACACACTGCATCTGCTGAGCAACGCAAGAGCACATTCGTTGCTCCCAGGGAAAAATACTGAGAGTAGCCCAGTACAGAGTTGTCTTTGTATGCTGAATAGGCAACACAGTCAGCATGAACATGGCCTGCTATTTCGCACCGAGAAAGCAGTCATTGCAGAGTAATGCTCCGATGCAGTGGTTCTCAAATAAGGGTCCGTTGCCCCGCCGCGGTGGTCTAGTGGCTAAGGTACTCGGCTGCTAAGCCGCAGGTCGCGGGATCAAATCCCGGCTGCGACGGCTGCATTTCCGATGTAGGCGGAAATGTTGTAGGCCCGTGTGCTCAGATTCGGGTGCACGTTAAAGAACCCCAGGTGGTCGAAATTTCCGCAGCCCTCCACTACGGCGTCTCTCATAATCATAGCATGAATTTGGGATGTTAAACCCCACAATTCAATCAATCAATCAATCAATCAAATAAGGGTCTACAAACCCCCTAAGGTCTGCGAAGACATTTCTATGATCCGCGAAACCCTCACACACTTTTTTTGTGACATTTATTAATGAACTGTCCAAAATGAAGTAATGAGGCCCTTTTGATGTTTTTCGTAGCAATAAAAGGCACCTGTTTCACACTCCAGCTGTGCTAATTGACCTACGTATCCCCCCTTCTCCTTCGCTGCAAGGGGTCCCCCATCACTTCCACCAGTCCACAAGGGGTCCCGACACATCCATGGCTAAGAACCACTGCTCTGATGCATACCACTGGCTTCAGTATGCAAGCGGCTAGTGTCGTAGATAAGCTGGTCGTTTATGCATGCAGTTCTATTGGCGTTACAAATGAAGCTAGCTGATTAAAATTCATGCATGACAAAGAGTTAATTCTCCTGTTTTCAAATATGATTATAGTTTCTGCTTTTTTCGGCAGTCCCTGCTCATTTCTATTGAATCTAATTGTGCAATACTGCAAACCCACAGCGCTATCCATGGAAAGGCCAGTTAAACATATTGTGCTCTAAAATTAAACTTCTGATGCCAGGTAGAGCATATGTATCAGAGCTCTGTGCTCAACAAGGTCACGGTAGATATTCCACACTTTGACAAATGAACAATTCATCAGCTGCTGATGAAATTCAACTCGGCTGAGAGCAATAAGAAGAAGCCAGTTTCTAAATACTAGCATAAAATGTCTGCTGCACCAACATGTAAAAAAAGAAAACCTGGAACATGCTGTAACTTGAAAGCTCAGCAGCCACAAAATTATTAAATGCTTGTTGCATATTTCCACCTGATGTTTGCTAAATTGGACACCTGGTCACAGTAGGTGAGCTTCCTTATAGTGCCACATGACATTTATTTCATGCAAGTACCAAAATCTGCTCTTGGATTGAAGCATTTTGAAAGGGGTCTCCAGAACAATACAAAAATAAGATAAAACTTCTCACACTTCTACAGTAGACCAATCCTCTCTCATAAAGTTTTAGGAAGAGGTGCTGGGTCCACTTGTAGTAATTAGGATCGCACGTTGACAGCTCCTGAAAAAGAAAGCAATAAAAAACAATAAAGAAATGAAGAAATAAACGGAAGCTACGCTACACACAATGTATGAACAGTATGTGAATAAAGGGGGCACTATGACATGGAATCTAGTTTTGGGTGGATAAAAAAGCAGCAGATTAACTAATCATTCACATTATCTACTGGTTTTAATAATTTTTGGCCATACACATCAGAATTAAAAATTCTGTATAAATCGGGCAGCTTGAATTCTGGCAAAACTAGCGGCTATTGTTCTACTGTATTTGGACTAATAACACCAATAAGCTTACACAAGAAATTCAAGTAACAGGGATGGCCACCCCTTCTACCAACACTGAAATTTACACTGTCATCACATTTTGTTTTGTAGCTTGTCTATAAGAATACCAAAGCAGAAAACCGCTCGCAAAGGGTCTACCATTTTCAAGTAAGTGGAGCAAGAGAATGAAGTAGCAAGCATAGATTAGGGTAGTTCACCGAATCACGTGATGCTTTCATGGTCTTTTGTGATAAATGCGACGGGTGTGCCTTATCGCGTTCGATGTTCGTGTGTCCAGCACCAGCATACAGCCATTGCAACTCATCAAGCCCTTCTTTCTTGCTGTTAATGTCCGAATGTAATACAGGGACGCGCATTTATTATTTAGCAGTAGTAGAAATAGTAGTAGCAGTAGTAGCAGTAGTAGTTGTAGTAGAGTGTAGTTTAGTAGTAAGCATCTGCACTATCATCATCATCATCATGAACCATCTCAAAGGGTGACTTCAGCCTTAGTAAAACTTCGATTTGCACCTAGAAATGAGAATGAACATGGGCTACTGCCAGTTGGTATGAGTGCTTCTAAAATGAGACTCCCTTTAAGACTAACTTGAACAGACCACGATCATTTGTTCGTCTTATCAGAAATGCCCCAGAAACCAAGTGCTAACATGCTAAGTACACCCAAATATGTTGCTTGAAGATACTGAATGAAGTGTAATTATAATGTGGAGAAAAGGTAAAAAAAGCATTTATTTGGCTCAGCTTGATAAAAATTATGCTTTCGAGTAGAGTATTAATACTAATCTACTGAGTACTCAATTTTGCGAGTTCATAAGTATAATGCTCATGAATAAATTGCTACCACACTTTAACACTAAAACTGTAGCACAAACCTATTTTAATGATTAGAAAAAGATGAAAAAGGAAAGACAAGCACATTTTCCTTCAAAGAATGGCAAATTTATTCTTCTGGCTTTCGACCTTCTGGAAGGCTGTTTTACTGACTTTGCTATTGCTTTTGGATATGCCTCCATTGAATACTGCTCACTACCTTGGCAATGCCAACATACGCCAAGTCGCTAATGAAAGTTTGCCAGCATTTCTTTGGCGTTTGAATATTGCCTTATTTTCAGCCCCCATTAACTTTTCCTGAACGACTTGTAGCTGAAGATCCCCGTTTATGCTACCCACAATCACAAGCCCCAGGCAGTGTTATGGAATGGGCACCTCCGTTCCATTTTAATTCCAATCTGGGTAATTGCAACTTGCCGTATTTCCATTTCAACTCCTTTGAATGAAAAGAAAGAAAACTTGGCCATTCCCACTCCGAGAATGGCCAGGCAGGTCAATTCTGTTTCTACAATTCCTCAACATAGAAAAGGCATATCTTGATAGCTTTATCGAGCTAAGAATGATTGTAACGACATAAAACTGATGTCATACGATGCATAAGAACTGCAAAAATAATGAGGTTACCACGGTCGAAGGATACTAGCTTGGCGACATCTCGTGCAGTACAACCCCACTACTAGTTCTCATAGTGGCAGATCTCCCCCTACCTTATGTATTTGCATGGACAGCACAATCTTAAAAAAAAAGGTTAGTAAGCAGTTGGCAGTGTATGCGTTTACTTGTTTCAAGCGTATTTTACTACCTTCGCGGCACCTCTTTACTATAGCCAACAGGTAATAAAGCTCGAAACATTTGCCGTTACTAACCAGTAATGATTTCTCGGTCTTTTCAACTAGGTAACTATTAAGCCACATACGTTGCCAGATCTCTCGTAAACACCACTGCATATCTTGCAGTAAGCATGACAGTATTAAGAAAAATTAAGGCCAATCTTAATTTTGTCGATTACTTTGCAATAAAAATTACCCCGCCGCGGTGGTCTAGTGACTAAGGTACTCGGCTGCTGACCTGCAGGTCGTGGAATTGAATCTCGGCTGCAGCGGCTGCATTTTGATGGAGGCGAAGATGCTGTAGGCCTGTGCGCTCAGATTTGGGTGCAAGTTAAAGAACCCCATGTGGTCAAATTTTCCGGAGCCTTCCCTACGGCATCTCTCATAGTCATATGGTGGTTTTGGGATGTTAAACTCCACATATCAATCAATCAATATAGAATAAAAATTTTGCACTAACTGGTGACAAACATATATAGAAGGGCAGACAATAATGTGTACAAAACGTTCGTTATTTTTATAAATTCTATGGCTGCTCAACCGTACACAGTGTGCATTTCCAAAGCAGGATCATAAATAGCCTTCAAACGACTGCTACAGTATACAATACCGGCTAAGTCTTGATATTCTATATGTGCGTTTGTATGTATGATTTCAACTGTAATTTGTCCATGCCTCTATGTATGTTGCTGTGATGCGTACTTGCCATGGTAACTACATGAATTAATTATAGTGGCCATTAATCAATCTAAGTGAACAATTGAACTTTGCTTATTATCCTATAATAGTTATGTAATTGAATTATCTTGATGTGGCAACGTACATGCACAAATAAATGTCCGTTGACTAAAAATTCAGTAATGCATTAATTATTTAAGTTAGCACTATTCACAAACTACTTTGCAAACTAGCAAGTTTCACTAATCATTATTTCACTAACTTCGTTTACTAGGAGGCTAGCGCTTTTTGCGACAAGTAAACGGTTAGTATTTAGTTAGTAATTACGCAGGCCTTTTTTCTAGGAATGCATGTTTAAATAAATGACTTTTTAATATTTTTTAAGCTTAAATGCGTTAATAATAAAATGACAACTTGAATCATCGCACAGAGATTCTGGAAGGCGTCGTCTTGGTTATCTGGGATCGTTTCGTTTGGCTGGCTACCTGAACCAATTCTTTCAAAAGTATATTCTATCTTTCTCTGTACGGTTCATCTTGTATAACAGTTCATCGCACACACAGTTCATCATGTATGCTGTGTGCTGCGCTGACCTACAGACCTTTGTGATAGTTTCACGCAAAGGCATCCGTGTATGTAGGCAGGCGGGACAGCATTACAAAAAAAGAGGGGGGGTAAAATGTAGCGAGACTGAGCGCAAGCTAGTATACGAAAGCTCGCAGTAAACACAGGCATCGCACCGGTGTCAATACCCATCACAACTCAGGGAAGCACTTTTTCGAAGCTGCGTCCGAGTCCCCGACTGCAGCAGAAGCAAAAAATGACCACCCAAGCACTCCATACAAATGATAAACCAGCGAAAGCTGAAGCATTTGGTCCCAGTGTTTAGCAGTGGGTTCAACCAGACGCTCTTGTTCGGGCTTCTTAATGAGCTTAGACACACGTTTGGCTTGGGTTTACCACAGCGTTTTTTTTATTTCACATGCCGCACATTGTGCCTCGCATGATCACGGTGGTCGAAGAGTGTAATGAGAGGTGAAATGCTTTTCACAATACGTTAATCAAAGTGGTTGTTCTCGAACCACAGGCAGTCACAAACATTGCAACCGAAGCCAAAAGGCCGCTGGAGAAACTTTCGTCGAAAGCAGGCGTTTGCTCCTGGAGAACGTGCTTTATTTAAAATGTGCTCTATTTTTGGAGAAAGGTAATTCCATTCCCATTTTATTTTATGGAAAATGCACTTATTTCATTTCCTTTCCACTCCTCCAAGCATTGTTGCCATTCCATTCCGGAGTTGTGAAAATGTCGAATTATTTCTGATTAATTCTGATTCCGGAGTGAAAACTGCACAACAATGGCCCCAGGCACACAGAAAAGACACGACGCAGCTATATTTATTGTACAAAATGACAAGCTTCCTTTGTCGTGCACTTTCATAATAACAATGGTGCATCACAATTTGCGGCATTTCACTGGGAACAGATACGATGCACAGAGGCCCTATGCGAAACAACGCGAACTGACCACAATATGTGCTCTAGTGCCATTGTGTAATGGGGATGATAATGCATCTGACTCTGATGGGAGTGCTAGTGCCTTTTGTTTCGTGTGATTATAATGTACACCACATTTTTGTTCCCATTTCTAATTTCATTTTGATTTTTTTCCTCTAACCAAGCTGTTGAGTTCTAATGTCTGCTGCACTCCTGTTGGGGACTAAAGAATGCGAAGAGAATGCAAAAAGACGAACGCGTTTTGTTGCTTTTTTTTACTGATAAAGCCGGCCCTTTCTCCCCCTACAGGCTAAGGGTGAGGGAGATACTATCTTTATGCGCTGACCTTTCTTTTCCACTTATCTCACTCTTTCCCTCCACATCGCAATTTGCTTTTGATCCGCTTTGAGTCGTTGCGCCAGAAATTTTTCTTTTTTTTTTCCTCACTTTGCTTTCTCTTGTTTGCGTGAATGCCCCCATCGAAACTTTAATGTTCAATGCACAGAATCCCCATCGTTTTTGGTCACTGCGAGAGTTCATCTTAACAGAAGAGACCTATTATGCGGTTTGTCTTAAGCAAATTGTGTTTGCATCGAGTCCATGGGAAACCAAACAAACACTCCCATGTTGTTCGTCTTAAGCAAGAACTCATCTTGACAGAGGTCGTCTTTATGGAAGTTTACTGTAGTCTGCAACATAGACAACCTACAAACTACAAAACTTAAACATTTAAACTAACATCCGAGCCTTGAAGTACTTTTTTTAACAAGTATACTTAGGATTCTTAGCTAGGCTAGCTGGCTCACAGTCATTATAGTGAAACAACTCAGATGACAGGGAAAGTGAAACAGACAAGACAATGGATTACCTATCTTGTCTGTTTTATTCATCTTGTCATCTGCACTGGTCCGCTGTGGTGGTGTAGCGATTCAGGTGCTTGGTTTCTGTCCCAAAAGTCGTGGGTTCGTTGCCGAGCACAGCAGTCGCATTTTGATGAAGGCGAGCCAAAAGCCCATGTACTTTGCGATGTCAGTGCGCATTAAAGAGCACTAGATAGTCAAAATTTCTGGAGCCTTCTACTACAGTCTCTCATAATCATACCGTGGTTTTGAGACGTAAAACCCCAGATATCACTGTTATTATGTCATCTGCACTGTTTAGATATTTGTACGATTGCCTCAGATTTATCTGAACATGTGATGTCCCAGCTACAGATGTACTAGCAATCTTATAGGCTCTTCTGTGGTACCGAGTACTTGCCTTGTTCCAGTCAAAGTTGAAGTTTAGATCTTTGAGCTGTTTCTTCATTGACTCAATGTTTCTGAAAAAGAAAAAAAATGTAAACAATCACTGCTAATATTGTGGGCATTTAGTATACCAATCCTCTTCATGTTTTTTTTTCTGTTGTAACAAGAATGTTATGTAATCTATGGATTTCTGAAGCACTGTTGCTTTGCTCATTTTGAACGAGTTTGTGCTGTCTTGTTGGCATGTGGGCACCAGCATCTGTAGGTCGTCGTAACCCTTTTTGATGGCATCCCTGCGTTTCTGCTCGGCCTGTGTGTGGGCTTCCCTTCTGCGTTCCTTGTAGCTAATGGTGGACTTGTGATCGCTATCCTCATCATCTGTGTTGTGAGCCGAAGAGGACGTGAGGATATTGTCTATGGATCCTGTCGACGACGTGCGCGAAAAGGAAAATTTGTCCGGTAACGTTGGACTCGGGAGGCCCGCCTTTGGGTCCCAATCAGAATCGTGCTTCGAGTCGTTACTCATGGCTTCAGCCATTCATAAAGTACACTCCAGATCTTCCAAGTGAAAGTACGAACGTGGCCGTGTCTTGGCAGTTACAGTACGAAGGAAAGACCTGCTGTACAGCTGCAGGAACCAACAAAAATCACACTCGAAGCCATCATTCCTACGCCATTTCTTGGACACGTTTCGTGGTAGATGTAAATTTCCACAGCTTCCTAAGGGGCCTAAGATGACGAGGGATCTGACAGCACGCTCCACCACCATATAAACAGGCCTATTTTAAAACATATTTTAACGGGTCCCGGCAAGTTCCAACAAACCACTACTTCATTTAGAATGACTTTTCTATTGGAATGCTGCTTCACTAATAAACATCTTGCCACAACAATTTTCTGAATCCATCAAGTATAGTCAGAGATACTGCAAAAAATGTGTGCTTGCTCTCTTCATCACTACAGGTGCATTGGACAGGGAGGAATGGCAAGAGGATGACATACAGCCTAAAAGGAACATTGCTGCACATCATAGCTTTTCTTTCTTTTTTTTTTTTTTCACTGTTGCAAACGTGGGCGGTTAGGCCGCACCACAATAAACGGACAGGCGTCGACCAGCAAAAAACATGCTTTCATTCCAAGCACGCTAACTTAAAAAAAATGAGGTGTGGGAGAAGGAAGGAAGAAAGACACGAGGCATGCGCAACGCTCGACTACGCATCAGTAATTGGTGGTTTGCAAGTTGCAGCATTTCCCTTTTTTTTTAGGATCCATACCGCTCCACGGGTTTTCTTTCATGGGTGGAATGACGTAGCTGGGTTTGAACATCTGCTGCGACATCCAGCTGTGCTGACTGAAGGGTTGCCATTCCATCACTGGGATGCATACCGGTTCTCTCGGGGTCATTTTTTGACATTGTAGCAGATGTTCTGTCTGGCATTTGTTAGCGAACTTGTTCTGCATGATGATGCATGATGCCATGGTCTGTCTCTACAGATACCACTTTTTAACTCTCCGTTGGTTTAACCTTGCCAGGGGTCCGATTCTCATCGGCATCAAAATTTTGAACATACACGGCATCACCTACCACAGTCGTCCATTGCTCGCAGTCCACCATTGTCATCTGGGATGCTGGCCTTTTTGACTTTGTAACCCAGAAGCATTTCAGAAGGGGAAAGTCCAGATTCTTGCGGCACATTTTGATAATGACATAACAGTTTCGCTAACGGTGTGTGAAGGTCTGTCGTACCCGCCTTCTTGAACCCATCTTTTACAGTGTGCACCACATGTTCAGCCATACCGTTGCTCTGGGGGTGGTAGAGAGGGGTACAAATATGAATGATGCCATTTCGGTGCCAAAGTTCAACAAGTTCCTGGCCGATAAACTGTGCATCTTTATCAGAGACAACTGCGCATGGTAGCTTCAAGTGGCTTAACAGGGTGCGCAGCGCATCGAGAGTGCTCTGGGATGTTGCCTGCCCCAGAGGAATGGTCTCTAACCATTTACTATGAGAGTCAATGGCTATCAACAGCATCTTGCCCTGAACAGGTCTTGCGAAGTTGACGTAAAGCCTAGACCATCTCTCAAGTGTTTCAGGCCAGCTTACTGGCTTCTGTGCAGGTGGCATCGGTAACGCCAGAATGCAGCTTCTACAACTCAAGTCGTCTATCCTGGGCCACCAGAACTTTGACCTTGCAACCGCTTTCATGGTAGAAACTCCCTGATGGGCAGCATGTAGCAATTTAAAAAGCCCCGTTCGCACTTCTGATGGCACTACAACTCGATGGCCTCTGTACAGCAGCCCCCCATGAACAGAGAGCTCGTGCCACTTTTTGTGGTATTCTGAAATGTCTCACTTGTAGCTGCTTGCACCTCTTGGCCAGCCATCAACGACATACCTGTAAACTGCAGCAAGCGTGACGTCCGCCGTCTTTCTGGCTTGTAGTTGTTCACTGGAATAGCCGGTTTGTCCCACTGATATAGCAGGAGCACGCACTCAGTCGAGTATTCTTTGGAACCGATTCTGTGTTGCAATGGTTGAGGCAAACGACTCAGTGCTTCAGCATGTACAAGATGTTTACTGGGCTTGTATTGAACAAGATACTTGTATGTGCCTAGGAGGAGCACCCACCTTTGAATTCTTGCCATGGTCATAGCAGGTGTTTGACGATCTGACCTTAGTAAACCCAGCAGCAGCTGGTGATTAGTAAGAAGAGCCAATTCTCGCCCGAGCAGTTAATCTTGAACCTTGTGACACCAAATACAAGAGAAAGTGCCTCTCGCTCAATTTCAGAGTAGTTTTTTTCGGCAGCTGTCAACAATCGGGATCTGAATCCGATAGACTGCTGCTTACTGTCAACGCTATGCAAGAGAATGACACCAATGCTGTACCAAAGATCTGAGGGTTGCTGAGCAGGTGGCCAGTGCCCGAGCACTCATTGATTCGAACAGAGTTTTAGTCTTTAGTGAGTCTCACCCTGCAATTAAAACCTTCTCGAGGGGAGTTATTAGCGAACCGGCTTGCAGACTGCTGCAGGGTAAGGTCATCCCTCCACATACCATTACTTCGTTTCCGGCTAAGATGAGATCAGCAGAGAGAGCCCCGCATAACCTCAATGAGGTGGCGCACAGAGAAGCGCGATGATTAGTGTGCCGTGCAATCCTTGAGGCGGCTGAATCTCCCGCTCCCGAGTTTAGGGACCAGCTGTTAACGTACTACAATATAACCAAACATAATTACTTACAGCACAGGAAATTTTCTTTGCCACATTCTAGACTTAACAGGCCACAGGCGGTTACACTAAGACTTCTGCAGATGCGGACATACCCCAACCCAGTCGTCATGAATAAAATTAATCCAGACTGCAGGTTTTGATCTATTGTAATAAGTGTAGGGGGCTTGCTCGGCATTGGCCAGTGTGGCTTCTCATGGTGAACAGTGGTGGCAGCGAAATCTGCACAGTAACACGCTGGCGAACCAACTCGGGGCTGTCCAGAGGGCCCATGCGGCGGCAGAAGAGCTTGGCCTCTCTGTTCCGACATGGGAGCACCCAGCATCAGTCCTGGACTGATCCTCAGGACCTTGATAAGTTCTTCAGACCACACCATACCAATGCCGTATGGCGACGCGTTGCATTCTTACAAAAGCTCCAAGTCAGGATCGAAATGGGCAAGCCATATCATGGTGATATAATCTACCACAGCATTTGCACTGTTTTTCCTTGCTGTGACGTTCAAACTTCAAGCTGCCGACTGCTGCTGTTGCTTTAACCTTAAAATATTTCCTTGCTCTGCTGACTCTCTGCCCGTGATTTTCGCATCTTGTTCAGTGGTTTCTGCTGCCAGCGCCAGTAACTCCGCTTCCTTCAAAGTGACTTCTTTTTTCGACCACAACTGCATTTGCAGATTCTTTGATATCACTCTGCATACAATGTGGTCCCTTAACATCCTGTCCTTCATTGTGTCAAAATTGCAGTTTTGGGCTATCCTGACTAGTCTTCCTGCTGACATTGGGTAAAAAACTTGAAGCTTCCTGCAATTACATGTTGAGCAGGATCATAATAGTCATTCAGCACGTTCACAACTTGTTCATATGTTGCCGTGCTCGGCTTCTCTGGTGCAAGTCTTCCACACAGAATATCGATTGTTTTTGATGCAAGCGCGGCCACCAGCAGTGCTCTCTTCTCAGAATCATTAGTCATTTCATTCATTTCGTAATAAGCTTCAGCTTTGATAAGGTAGGATGTCCACTTATCTCTGTCATCGTTGAAATCTGGTAGCGCTTGACTCATGGTGTTCTGTGGGTTGTTTTTGTCGTCCTGGTCGTCCGTGAAAGAAGTTATCATTGCCACTATTGCGAACGTGGGTGGCTAGGCCGCACCGCAATGAATGGACAGGCGTCGACCAGCTAAAGACATGCGTTTACTTGAAGCACAGTAACGTAAAGCAAACAGGGTGGGGAAGAGGGAAGAAGGAAAGATATGAGGCATGCGCAGCATTCAACTGCGCATGCCGCTTTTAACAACCAGCTAAGTGGTCCCCGGCCAGCGGAGTGCCGGTGGGCGGCGTGAAGACATCTGGTGTATAGACACCCATCCATCTGGATTAGAGTCTGCGGGACGGCTGTTGCGTTGGACAGCGTAGTCATCTCGCAGTAATGGCATGGGCCCGCAGCTGAACGGCGCCACCATTGTGTGCGTTTGCGCAGTTCGCGGAAGATCTTTTATAGGTCGGTCCTTTCGTCTCTCTCTCAGACCGGGAGGTCAAGTGCTTGAATACAAGAGCGAGAGGAGAGGATGGCAACAAGTGTGTTTAGTCTGTCCAATAAACGGACTGAATTGTTTTGGTTGGCCGTGAGGAGAATTGGGAGGGGCAACCGAGGGGTTAAAACCTGACTCCCAAGTCTTCACGGTCGTTCTGGTCACAGGAATCAGTGCTCTGCACTATCGGCTCTGCTGAGGCAACAGCAACAGTTCCAACGGTGAAAAAGTCTTGTAAATATGTACATAAGTTCCAGTACATAGAGTCGAGTTGTTGCAATGTATCGAAAGGCACTGGTCTCCATCCTTCACAAGC